CCCTAATGCGCACAAAGTTAGCTGCATTCGGGCATTATTTAGCAGGATAGATACCCATTGTAGCACACGGGCAGCCAAAGCAAAATAACGTGCACATCTTCACCAGGTCTGCACTCTCAATGGCTATTCGAGGGATTTTATCCATCGATGTATTACACCCAAGGCCCGGCAGCCCATGGAGGGCACATGCGGAACATCAATGTGGAGGGTGCTCCCATACATACAGGGGGTGTCCGAAACCGCGGCACATATCCTTGCACCACATGGGATTAAAGTGGCACACAGACCTGACCAAACACTGAGGAAGAGAGTAATGCGACCGAAAGAAGCTTTGCCAAAGGAAGAGACTTCCTCAATAATCTATCGTATTAACTGCAGCAATTGCGCAGGTCATTACATAGGAGAAACATCAAAATGACTGAAAATGAGGGTGCATGAGCACAAACTAGTGGTCAGATGTAAGGAACAGCGCTCCCAGATTTGGATGCATATGGAGGAGCATGGTCACGAGTTCAACTTCCAAGAGACCAAAGTCGTTGCCCATGTCGAAACAAAAGGAGGGTGCCTCTTGAAAGAAGCCTGGTTCTCTAACAACAACTCCCTCAATAGACATATTGACATACCACCGGCATACCAGGCTTTACGGCACCAGGAAAGACTTAAGGAGGACCGATCACTAAGACTGAATGGAGATAGGGGACAAATTTCCTCCTCTAGGCATAGAGATTGGCCCAATGGAGGGGTGACAAACCCTGACAGAGGGCAAGAGAGTAGGTTAGGGAAACAGCAGAATGAGGAAGATGGGGGGGCAAGGAAGAACAACGCAGACCCATCACAAGATCATGGGTAAAACAAATGGGTTTAGAGGAGGCAACGTGTGCACCTAAAAGGGAAAGGCATAACAATGAGGGAGAGGGAGCCGGGAGTAATACCTTCAAAGCAATGCCTGATAACCCTGCGTTACCCCCCAGGGAGAGAAAGAGGCAACACACAATGGGGCAGGAGGCAGGGGAAAGTGCATTGTCATCTGTCAGCATGACTAAGGCAGAAAATAAGATAATTACAGGGGGAAGGCAAGGGTGTGGGCCTGTTACATGTGCAAGGACCAAATTGATCAGCATTACATAAAAGCAAGCAGCTCTTCAATGGTGATTTTATACTCTGACGAAGTTGGTAGGGGACGACAAAAGCTTAGCACAAGTTTTAAAATAATTTTTTTAAAAACTTTTAAACGTTCCAGAGATCGTGATGTCTATCGCTTCTTCTACAACTATACCTGGAACTCGTATTTTTAGGACAATTCTTTATATCTATATCTATATCTATATCTATATCTATATCTATATCTATATCTATATCTATATCTATATCTATATCTATATCTATCTATCTATCTATCTATCTATCTATCTATCTATCTATCTATATGTAGGTCTTTGGTTATTCAGGTTTTCTCCCGCGTAAAATTGGAGGTGTCTTGGCAACGTTTCGACAAAGTCTCATTCGTCATCTTCAGGCTGGTGTTCTCGGCTTCGTGCTTCTAGGAGCAATGTGTGTGATCGCAGCTGTTTCTTCCTTTTAACTGCCAGTGGGGGTGTGAACTGATTGGGTGGGAGCTTGGCTGTGTTCTGATTGGGTGGAGGTGTGTTCTGATTGGTTGGGGGTTTGGCTGTGCTCTGATTGGATGGGGGGTTGGCTGTGCTCTGATTGGATGGGTGTGTGTTCTGTTTAGGTGGGGGCTTGGTTGTGCTCGGGTTAGTCTGAGTAGCAGGGGGATTTGAGCTGGTGAGCTGTGTTACAGCCAGTGACCTATTTGTGACCTTTGATGTCATATCCCTCTTCACCCAAGTGCCAATCAAAGAAGCCTTGACAGCTATCCAAAACAAATATAACCCCCCCAAGCACATCCTAGATCTGACCAACCACTGCCTATCCAACACATACTTCATCTATAACGGACAAAAATACAAACAAATAGAAGGAGCACCCATGGGATCACCCCTCTCACCTGTCATTGCTAACCTCTACATGAACACTTTGAAACCCAAACTCTAGAAAAATCTGATCACAAACCGAAACTCTGGCTCAGATACGTAGACGACACCTTCATAATCTGGCCATATGGGAAAGAAAAACTGGACAACTTCCTCACACACCTCAACAGCCTAAACCCCAAAATACAGTTCACCATGGAAACAGAAGCGAACAACCAACTTCCCTTCCTGGATGTCTTAGTCTACAAAAAATCCAATGGCTCCCTAGGATACACCATCTACCAGAAGAAAACACACACAAACAGCTATCTGCACGCACTCTCACACCACCACCCAGCACAGATCAACTCCGTAGCCAAGACACTCATCTCCAGAACAAAACGCTTAGCTGACGAACAACACCTAAAAACCAAACTACACACTCTCACTAACGTACTAACATCCAATGGATTCCAAAGAAATAAGATCACCAACCTAATCCAAAAAGAAACCCCCACTGAAATCCAAGACAGAGAACAAGAAAACGGCAAAGCCCTCCTCCTATACATAAAAGGCACCACAGACAGAATTAGCAAGATCCTCCACAAACACAACATCAAGACAGCATTCTGCACAAACCGAAAAATATCCACCATCCTAAGAAACCCCAAAGACAAAATTGAGTTAGAAAATCAAGGAGTATATGAAATCCCTTGCACCGCCTGCCCCACCACATACATCGGACAAACCAACAGAAGAATAAGTGCGCACATTGAAGAACACAAGAACTCAGTTAGAAAAGAGGAACCAACTTCTTCCCTGGTCCAACACCTCAAAGCCACAGGACGTGATATTGACTTTAAAAAGACCAGAACTATCGCCAAAACTGAACACTTTAACAACAGAATAATCAGAGAAGCCATCGGGATAGAAAAACGTCCACACAGCATGAATAAATGAGATGATATCTCCCGCCTGCCAGCCATTTGGAAACCCACCCTTATTGACAAATGAGTCCCTAACACAAAGAATGACACCAGACCCACACTCACAAGAGCCACACAGGATGTAACCACCACACATCCACGCAGAAAGCAGACTCAAACCCACACTGATGATCAGGCACGACCATGGACCAGAAGCCAGACCACAGCTGCATCATTAGCCACTTTAATCCTCTCCAATCCATACATGAAGCAGACTGACACCCAACATGAAGAGATGGCACGGCCACAAACACAAAGCCAAACAACAGCAACACAGCTCACCAGCTCAAATCCCCCTGCTACTCAGACTAACCCAAGCACAACCAAGCCCCCACCTAAACAGAACACACACCCATCCAATCAGAGCACAGCCAACCCCCCATCCAATCAGAGCACAGCCAAACCCCCAACCAATCAGAACACACCTCCACCCAATCAGAACACAGCCAAGCTCCCACCCAATCAGTTCACACCCCCACTGGAAGTTAAAAGGAAGAAACAGTTATATATAATGTTTTTCCTCTAGCCAGGTTTTCCCTACGTAACCAAGGTTTTTCTGCAGCCCCAGCTCAGTAGAATCACATCCACTTGATTCTGGGCTTTTTTCTTTTCTAGCAGCCAGCAAGCTCTTCCTGCTAGGTGGGAGACCTATATAGATCTATTTCCAGCTCGTTTGCTTTCATCAGTAGGCCACACCCACATCTTATGTATCCTCCTTGAGGTGGGGCTGCAGAAAAACCTTGGTTACGTAGGGAAAACCTGGCTAGAGGAAAAACACACATAAACCCTACTAAGAAGTAAGAATATATATATATACACACATGAAAACTATTCATTTTTAAATCAAAATTAACTGCCTTAATTGATTTAATTAATTGCCCCAAGTCTTTGAGCCAGGCACCATGCAAGTTTAATAAATTCAGCCAATATGTTGGCTTCTGGAAGATATTTATGCCACATGGATGCATGGCACAGTGGTGGTTTGCTACCGGTTTGCCCGTATCGGGCAAACAGGTAGCGATGGCGAGAGATTCTGCCCACCTGCCCAGACCCTTTTGCACATGCGCAGAAGTGTCATGCGCATACACAAGCGTGCAGGCACCCATGAACGAACCAGTAGCGATGGGTTTTGAAACCCACACCTGGTATGGCATACATTTTCTACACAATTGTGGAGAAGAGAAACTTTTGCAGGGTATGCATTCACTTTATTACAAAAATCTCAATCCTGACCCATTTTGGCAAAAATTCGCTATTATAGGGAACAGTTCCAGGTTTCTTCTCCCTCAAGATGCAGTTGCAGCTATTCTCCTAAGCAATCCCCCCCCCCCGCTTAAAATGTGTCCAGATTGATTTTCTGCAATAAACTATGTATCACATGCTTTCTTTTTTAACTTGTGTTGGTGACATGGAGTAGGCAAGGAGTCAATATTGTACAGGACTTATATCTCTGCTTGTATCTATTCTAGCTTTTTAAAATTCAAGGTTGTCTTCCTTCCAGGTAAATACCATGTATTTTAAAATAATATTTTCCCAGGTATTATTTCTCCTCTGACTAATTCTTTTGTAGGTTCAGTGATGAAAGACGAACACAACAATCCTTGTAAATTACTTTTCTTGTTTGATGTGGGAGAAGAAAAAAACTAGTATGGAAAACAAGTATGATTCTACACTAAGAGCTCATCTATTTAAAATGACGGAAATATATATTTAAAAGGTTTAAAAAATGAATGAGATACAGCAGATCTCTGACCGTTTTTACAGACAAATATTTGAGGGACTACATTTCACGCAGTTATTATTGTAATACATTGGTATGCACTGTCTGCTTCACTCCTTTTCCTTTCACACACAGATACCCATACACCCCTTTTTGGAATAATGGTACACTCCAGGAATGCCACTCTAGAGGAAGTCACTTTTCCAGTACAAAGGACTTCTTTAACTATGCAGAGGGTAATTGCTGAGAAACCAGTTAGACTTGTTCCAGATAAGTGGGCCCATGAACAGAATACACCTTTCAAGTCTAGGGAAAAGACGGTTTTTGACTGTCTTTTCCCTAAATGTAAGGATAACTTTCTAGGTTTGCATTGCACTAGAGCAATGTTGTTTAAAAATCTTTGAAATGCTTTGACATTTACTAGCAAAGCTGACATACCAGAAGATTTCAGGGAGTTTATCCAAGCAGGTGCCTGAATTGAATATACTCCATCTCATTTTGATTAAAAAAATGGCCTTTTCTTGCTGCTTCACCTGTTGCCCCTTGATCGCACAGCCTTCAGGAGAGGTAAGAGAACAAGCTCAACAAGCTGAATGGAAAAAGCAAAGCAGAAATACCTAAGCTTCTGTTGGAAGAACTGTCCATCTGGGTTCAGTTCCAAGTGGGAAAAAAGACACTGGATTCATGGAAGTTGCTTGGAAAGAAGGTTTATTGATGAACAGGATCACATGGCTTGAGAACCTGGGCAAAAAGGGCAGAGATGCTGAGAGTCCCTGGGTTTTATGCCCTCTCTGGCTATGAACTTCCTGGGGCACAGGAAGAGTATCGTGATTGGTTGCTGTCAGAGGTCATGGCTAGCTTTGTAGGTTGTCTGTGTGCTAAGTTTTCTTGAATCTTGTTGGGTGATGCAATGAAGGACAATTAAATTAAAGAGGTAGATCTTTGTTATGTAGATTGGACTGGCTCAGGCCTTACTGGTCCATTAACAAAGGTGGGGGGGGCTGAGTTTCTGCCTCCCTTTTAGGGGAAATATTCTGCTCTTTTAATATTTCCTAAAATGTTTCATTTTTCTAGGAGAGGGGTGGGTTTTAACTTCCTACACTTCATCACTTTTATTAGCAAATCTAAATGGTAACCAAGTTAGGCCAATCTATTTGGGAGGGAGATGGGTTCTTGATGACTGTGATGAGTAAGAGAATTTGAACTCTAGTAAACAGGTTGGAGGATGGAAAGGCCTTAGTAGTGGGGCTTACAGGTAGTTTTCTATTTACATCCATTACTGAGCTCAATTTACAGTCATAAATTGTGGCAGTCATTAAATAGGTAATCTTTCCCGATTTTGTGACCTTTTTTTTTTTTTGCAGTTTTCATTAAGTGAATACAACACTCATTAAGCAAACCCATTTTCTTTCATGGCTGTTTTTGCCAGAAACCAGACTTAAACATCTCTCATGAATCCACCCTTGGGATCTCTTTGGACATGAATTCAGAAGAGGAGGAGGAATTTGAGTCAGCAGGGGAAAGCGTGGTGCCACATGATGGTTCAGATCGGGGCTTGCAGAGTGCTAGCTGACAGAGCAGCCTCAGCCAGATTAATTGGATGAGCGAAAGGTTGAGGCTGAATGAGGCGAGCTACAGAGAGTTGGCGAGGAAGCTCCAGGCGAGGAACAGGAACAGCTGCCAACAGTTAGTGATGAGGAGGAGGTGGAATCAGTGGTGGGATTCAGCCAGTTCTAATCGGTTCGGGCGTACTGGTAGTTCCAACGATCAGCTGAGAGCTAACCAGTTTGCTCTGATGATCAGATGGGCCCGCCCACCCACCCACCCCTGCGCTATAATCTACCTATATTTCTTTTGTTTTAAATCCAGCTGATAGGTACAGCAGAGCGGATTGCTGCGCCTCAGCTGATTTACTCACTCTTGATTCTGTAGAAGGTAACTTTCGATCGTAATGAGCATGCACGGAAGTACGAGTTTGGCGTGAAAAGCGCAGTGAACTGGTAGTTACAACTGGTGAATCCCACCACTGGGTGGAATCCACACCTCCTCCTGATCCAAGGACACGTAGGGCAGAAAGGAGACAGGCACCATGCCAGTTGGCTAGATTACTCACGAGGAGACAACTTCACCCTTTGTGAAGGGCCGCACTGGAATCGCCTACTTAATTTATTTATTATTTATTTATTTGTTTAAATTTCTATACCGCCCTTCTCCAATATAGGACTCAGGGCGGTGAACAGCCAAAGTAAAAACAAGACATACAAAATCTAAAAACTGTTTAAAATAATTAAATATTTTGGCCGTAATTAAAAATTCCAATTTAAAATCAGTTTAAAATTTAACTCAAGCCAGCCCAGCTAGCTGAAATAAATGGGTTTTCAGGGCCCGACGAAAAATCCGGAGGTCTGTTATTGTACGTATCTCTGGGGGGAAGTTGTTCCAGAGGGTGGGCGCCGCCACAGAGAAGGCTCTCCCCCTGGGGGTCGCCAGCCGACATTGTCTGGCAGACGGCACCCTGAGGAGGCCCACTCTGTGTGAGCGTACTGGCTGGTGGGAGGCTATTGGTGGCAGAAGGCGGTCTTGTAAATACCCCGGCCCTGAGCCATGGAGCGCTTTAAAGGTGGTCACCAACACCTTGAAGCACACCCGGAAGACCACCAGGAGCCAGTGCAGCTCACGCAGGAGAGGTGTCACATGGGAGCGCCTCATCGCCCCCATAATCCCCCGCACGGCTGCGTTCTGGACCAGCTGGAGCCTCCGGGTGCACCCCAGGGGGAGCCCCATGTAGAGAGCGTTGCAGTAGTCCAGGCGGGAAGTGACGAGTGCCTGAGTGACTGTGCGTAGGGAGTCCCGATCTAGAAAGGGGCGCAACTGGCGTATCAGGCGAACCTGATAAAAAGCCCCCCTGGCCACGGCCGTCAAATGATCTTCTAAAGACAGCCGTGCGTCCAGGAGGACGCCCAAGTTACGAGCCCTCTCCGTGGGGGCGAGTGATTCACCCCCAATAGCCAGCGATGGCATCAGCTGGCTATATCGGGACACCGGAAGCCACAGCCACTCGGTCTTGGAGGGGTTGAGTCGGAGCCTGTTTCTCCCCAGAGAAACAGAGGACTTGAGCGATGCTGGAGCAACGTGCCCAATTCCTTGCCTTGTTTGACTTGTGGATTGCTTCCCTGGACTTTGTGTGTGCCCATTGGATTTTGGTTTAGCTAGTGATTCTTGTCATGCTCAGCTCAGAATCCAAACCTGTGCAGTGTGGGTGCTTTCTGAGGACCTATTTGGAGGATTTGAGTAAACATTTTTAGAACTCTTGCTGTGTGTGTATGTGTGTGTGGGGAGCAGGGCAGCACAACACCACAAACTGTGGAAAAAGATGCCAAAAATCATGGTCACATAACAACAGGATGCTGCAAACAGCCATAAAAGTGAACCCAAAATGTGATCATGTGACCATAGTGTGTGTTTCTGCAGCCATTGGAACTCTGGCTTTGAGTAGCAACATGGCACCCTGTAGATGTTTGGGCTACAACCCCTACAATGCTTTGATATCAACAATCATAATCAATAACCAATATCTAGAAACACCCTCTGGGAGAAATTAAAACTCACTACTATTGAGAAACAAAATCCTCACACAACATAATCCTTAGCACAACATAAATTCCCAATACTCCTATATGCTGACGATGCTGCTATTATTTCACAAACTCCCATAGGACTGAAGAGAGCAATTACCGCAACACTAGGATACTGTAGACAGAATAAGTTGGTCCTTAATTTTGACAAATCAAAAATTTTAGTTTTTGCTAAAAGACCTATTCAATACTCCTGGAGAATAGAAGGACATAATTTAGAACAGGTTAGGACATTTAAATACCTTGGGGTGGTTTTCCATTCACAAGGTACATGGAGGGCACCCCTGGATTATACGTTGCAATCAACCCATAGGTCCTCAAATGCCATTAAACATGTCTTTTAAACAGACAGAAGTCAATTAGTACCTGCTGTCTTAAAACTTTTCGAGGCCAAAACACTGGGGCAAATTCTATGTGGGGCACAAACAGGAATCTTTGCAAAGAAAGACCCACTAGAAATCATGCAAGCAAAATTCATGCAAGCCATTTTAGCTGCTTTAGGAACTTCAAACACTCAGTTAAGGATTGAGACAGGTATGCCTCAAATTCAGGTAAGAGCCTGAAAGCTGATGAGTATCTATTGACTAAAAATGCATTTCTTTCCAGAGGGACTAACCCTATTATAGAATTCTATAAGAAATAGAATTAGTTGTAAAAGATTAAACAACTGTTTAACATGTAAGTGTTTAGGATAGAACTTTTGGACTTTCAAATCAATCTATCTATATATTTATACTTATTCCTCTTTATTTATAAACTAACATAAATTGGTCTTCAAGTGTCAAATCTTGGGTTATTACAATCAGAATTACATCAGTTTATGTAGCTTATATATTATATTTAAACAATAATCGTATGTAACCTTTATATATTTGCATACTTATATAAATATAAAGTATAAGGACATTACAATTATCGTAAAATATATATGCATATTTATCCATATATTAAAATCTATATTTATATTTATACTTACATATTTAAAGGTATATTGAAGGCATTATTATTATTGTTGTAGGAATTTCACTTAATAAATACAGGATTGTGGAGGCTTAAAGAGGAAACTTGAATAGTTAAAATATTGTATGTTAATTTGGAAAAATCTTTTTGGGGGAAAATGACGAGCATGACAACAAGAGCCTTGGTACTACAGTGGTTTAAAGCACCCTGTTATTAACATTCAGCTGTCTGCAATTTACTGCTGGTTCGAATCTCTCCAAGGCTCAAGGTTGACTCAGCCTTCCATCCTTTCTAAGGTAGGTGAAATGAGGACCCAGTTTGTGGGGGCAATAAGCTGACTTTGTATAAATATACAAAAGTATGAAGGCTATTGCTTAACGCACTGTAAGCCGCCCTGAGTCTCCGGAGAAGGGCGGCATATAAATCAAATTAAAAAAAAAAAAAAAAAAAACTATTACTAAGATAAGTAAGAAAACAGCCCCAAACCCTGCATCTACAACCTCATCCGCATCTACAGCCCACCCACATTCAATAGAGAGCATGATGGGAATGGAGAAAGCAAGTTCAACACTGAACATTCAGAGCATGCAAGCTACATTATTAATGATACAAGATGCAATGACAAAAACACAGGAAGCAATAGCAAATACCCATGAAGAGTCAAAAAGAAACCATGAACAGATCAAACATGAGATGGGGGAAATGAAAGGAGATATCAGAAGAATGGATAATAAAATAGGAAATATTTAGCAAACTATTATCAAAAACGAACAGAGAATAAAAGCAGTAGAGACAAAAATGGGACAAGTAGATAAAAAATGGAAACAATGGAACAGAAATGTGTGGTCACCAACAGAGACTTAGAGGAATCAATTGTTTTTCTAGAGATGGGGAAAGTGTCCTTTTTCTTAAGATTCCAGAGTATTGTAGAAGATGAAGAGGAAGATCTTGGTGAGACCATGGCAGAATTAT